ATGTCACATTCCATTTCAGTCTCGGTAGTAGTCTCAGTAAATGACGTCTGAAAATCCTTGCTACCTATTTTTATGATGATAATGGAGAAAACTCCTCTAAACTGGTCCGCTCGTCTTGGCTTCATTAGCTTCGCATTCTGTAAAAGCTCATTATAGCCCGGTGTAAATAGTAGCTAAGGTGTGTTTGTTGCTTATTTATCCGCCATTTTCTGTTTAGAAGGTGGAAAAATTTTTTACGCAGTGCTGCAGTTTATAGTATTAGACGTAAATATTTTGAAGTAACCTTGTATATTTAGACAAGATCCTGTGTTCGTCTTTTGCATGAAATTAATATATTTAGATGTTTGATTGAAACGATATCGAATCTACAAGTTTTTGCTTTTTTGTCGCGCAAACCAGATCCCTTGTAGTTGACCAAATCTACAACCCATTATTCTTTGAAATTACTTTCATGTCCGAAAAGTACAGTGGGAGAAACGAATTAAAATAAATGGAGTAATTCTTAACATTACAAAGTAAACGTGGGGCTCCATTGTCTGGCTGAATCACAACCACATATACACATTTAGATTTCTGTGTATTACATAACGTTTCCAAATTTTTGCACATTTGGCTACTATGCCAAGGACGGAAAAGCTTTGTTTTTAAAATCGGTCCAGTGGAAAAGAAAGTCAAGAAGGAAAACATAGAAACCGCTCAAAATCATAAACATCCTTGAGGTGGGGGAAATTTTTTGATCTTAGTATATGTATACGCTCCCAGCCACGTTATTTCTATACACCCACAGATTTCCCCTTTAGAACTGTTTTCAATCCTCGTATTCCTTCTATCTAACCTTATCACCCGGCGAACTGGTTCGGCTGACTAGTCTACCCGTACTGCAGAGCAAAAAACATATACAAGGACGATGTAAGAAATGAACGATAACTCGCTGCAGCGATGCCGCACAGATGTGGAAAGGGACAATGTTGCCAGATGGACAATAACAGCGGGCATGGAAAGGAAAGAATGTCGATGGACTAATTAACTACCTAATTAACTAACCTGTTTGACTGACTTAAGACGTTTATCTCTCTTTGTACATGTTCGGAATTGACTTTTTTCAGAGGATTCCAATTGCGTTAAACTTAATTCTGTATGAGCTGCTGACGGCGTTCCGTATGTTTTATCGGATGTGGTTAAGCAACGTTGCCCGATGGTCGATACCGTCCTTGGGTCCGGGGAGAAATTTTTAGATCTCCTCATTATCAAGTAGGTGGGAATTGTCTGCTTAATTCATTATTTTTTTTTTTTGTTAAGTTCATAGCCAAATTTTTTGTTAGATGGGCTTGTGTCAAACATTATCCTGTGTCAAAGGATGACAGCGTTGATTAGGTAGTGCAGAGTCAACCTAATTGACGCCGTTTTTCAAAATACACATCAAATTGATGCTTCGCTTTTGAGCATTCTCATCTACGGTTGCTTGGTCCTTACTCTCATGTTAAGTTGTGTTACATATTAAAAGTTGGGAGAACGGCAGTGCATCGCCGTAACATTTTTCTGTTAAATGCAATTACTCAGAGCGTCGCCATTTAGTAAAACCGTCCGTAGGATGAAAATAGTAAAAAGGCAAAAGTAATTAGAGTTAGCGGTATTTATACGTAGTGAAAGGTGATGGAACGTTCAGCGTTGTGATGTTTGTGCACCACACATTGCCGACACTTCGCTCGTAAATACAATTAAGCTTTTTTTGGATGGAATGCCCGCTTAAACGGCGATTCAATGCATCCGATGCTCACTTTTGAGGAACGCTGTAAAAAGGATATAAAACAGGCAAGTTCGTTGACATGTAACTTCCCACGCGCTGACACAGAACATGTTTGATCTCCATGTTTTGCTAGCTGCCAAACGAAACAACAGAATATTTTTATTCTTGAAATTTGGAATAAGGGCATGGTTCAAGCCACACATTTTCTGTTAATATTAAATACCTAATTAAGGATTAAAGGTTTTGCACGCTAAAATGAAAAAGTGAAATAGAAGCTCAAATTTTATAGCACCCAAAAATCGAGAAGTTGTACTTTTGAAAAATTGCGTTATGTAGGTTGACTCTGCACTACCCATGCAACGCTATCATCATTTCACAAAGGATTATGTTTGACACAAGGCAGCCCCTCTAACGAAAAGGTTAGCTATAAACATGTATAACAAAAAAAATATAATGAATTAAGCAGATAGTTCCCACCTATTTGATAACGCGGAAGTCTAGAAATTTCTCCTCGGACCCACGGACGGTATCGACCATCTGGCAACCACATCCGAAAAAATGTTTTTCTTATGAAATTTCAGGGGCATATGTACAACGAACTCATTGATCTTTTTTTTTATACTCCAACTGCCACGAAGGCCTAAGGCCTAAGCACCCATTGGGTACCGTGGGGCTATAGGGGGATACATGGGAAAGGGGGAACGCCACACGGACTCTGGCGAGGGAACACGTGTACATGCAACATGCACACATTCTGGCTCCGCCTACAGGATCCGCCGGGTGGTACCTTCGCGTTCGACAGTCAGAGACCGTCTACCACCTACGGACAATCACAACATCCATAGCCAAGAGAAAAATTTCTTCTGGGACGGGACTCGAACCCGCACACCGCACGGCGACTGATCAGGAGACTGAAGAGTCTACTACTGCGGCCACCGCTGCTACCTGTGGAATATACACTAATCGTTGCGTGCGTACCCTCCCCCGAGTCCCAACTTTTAGCTGCTTCAACATTTTTTCCAATGTCAAGAAACGAAGTTCAAGCGGTTTTCCCCTATCTCCGTTGCCTTTGGAGCGATTTTTAAAAACTACAAATGTTCTTCGTCCTCGGTGTAGTAGTAACGTTGTGTGGATATTTCAAATCCGAGCAATAATTTCCAAATTATAGAGCGGTCAAGGGTCATCAGACAGATAGACCAACACAAATGAGTGAAATTGTTTTTGTCATGTACATGTCATGTAAAATCCAAAACAGAGATCCCATTTTTAAAATTTGTCTTTATTACGATATTTTCTCGACAGTGGCATGGAAAGTAAGGTGCGCTCAGATTAATCCTTTGTATGATTCAGACTCAACCGTTTTAAGTAGCAAACAAGACCGATCACAAATATCAGATACGATTTTAGAATGCTTTCCAGTTTTCATTTTTGTTATCACATGACTATGTTAATTGTCTGCGGATTCGTTGGATGGAGAAATCCCTCTACAAATGTCCGGCGGGGTAAGATTGCATGATCTCGCAAGCAGCAGACATCACTACTGCGAGGAATCACGCGGCCGACAAAAAACTGTGTCAATGACAATTCCAAGGTTTCCATCACCGTACTTGGATTCAACCCTTCCCTTGTCAACGTCAAGTCGGCAACCGGCAACAGTGCGACCTGCCATCGCCCCACTCGACCTGTGCTCGTCAAGCGATACAGACGTTTTGATCTGCAGTAGCTGTTATCCGCGACTTCGTATGCTTGAAGCTGTAACATAACACTGTTTTCAAGTAATGCTATAAACTTTAGATCACGTTTTGTAACTTTGATGAAGTTAGTGAATTGACAGCCAACATGTCTGCTTGGGAAATCTAATTATTTTATAAATGGTGCCAAATATAAACCGCTGGACAGTAATATACTATCATATAATATCAAGCAGAGATTCCACATTCGAATGATACGGGATCAACTTGCAGCGAACCTCAGAGCTGCAAAACTGGTGGATACCGGGCAATTTGCGGTGACCAACCTTTGACAAAACACCAAAAACTACTCATTTGGGAGCGCTGATGAAGATAACTTGGACATTTGGCTTTAGTTAATTATGCCGATTCATTAGGAGAGATCGTGACGTTCTATGAATGGTCACACGGGAAGTTACATGTTTCTTTTCTGTGACTGCGATCCTTTGCTTTGATAGGTTTCTTATATAAAGTCTAACGGATCGATCAACGGATGTAAAATCTTAATGTCCTAACAATCTCCGCCTATAATTGGTTAATGTTTGTTTTGAAAATCTCATTAAACCCGCTCGTACAGCGTGTGCTTATAAAGTATGCTGTATAAAGTATGCTGAGTGTCTTTATTTAAAGCTCGAGTATCCACCAACACAGTACCCAAAAACTGCAATGGCCTTGAAATCTAGCACTCCAAACTCAAAGACAATGACGTTTTTAATCGAGTTACTCTCAAAATAATACAAGTCAGCTAAAATGAACGTTACCAGATATCATTTATTGTTTGGCACAACGCAATGATTTAACTGCCAGAAGTAGAGGAAAAATACAGTGATAATGGGGTGGAAAGGCAATGAAACCATAACTATTTATAGGAACTATAAAGAAGGTCAGTGTCCCCCGATGGATCGATCATGTAGGCTCGACTACTCAATTTTTCTCGCTATACATCATATAAATGTCTATCTAAGGATCTTTGATTTGGTTCATCATTCAACGAAGAATAAATCGAGGGTCTTGCGGCTAGGCTGCAATGTTGCCTTTTACACATCCTGTGATGTTGCTTCGTGAACTCAGATATGGGCATCTTCATGGTTTTTGGCGGGTCACAGTATAACTACTGGAATTACTGTCATACATCTATCTTTCCCATACATACAATGTGCAGCCAGCCTTCATGCGCGGAATTTTGTGTAAACTCATGGGCGTGTGGTGTTAGATGACCTTTTATCGATCTTCGATATAAATCAATAATTCTTGAAAATGCAACTACAATGTCGACAATTTGTATTAAATTTATAGAAGAATTTTCAGAAAGTGGGTAAAAACAACGGTCCTCTACCACTCAGTTCATGTGTGTTTGTGCAAGAGCAAGTAGCAGCTGAGTTACGTATCTGCTTGCGCAGGCGCAGTGTGCAATATTCCTACGCTACGCACATGGTACCATTCATCAATCTGTTTACCTATTTTGTATGACACCATTTGTACGGTGTCACTAAATTGTGGACTAGGGATTTGCTCTTACTTACTTTGTTTGACGTTTGCTAGACATTGTTAGACCTGGACCACCATGTAGATGTGTAGAATCTGAAACAAAGTGCAGGCCATTAGCAAAAATCGTCGTTAAATTTTATGGAGGATTTTTATGAGTAACGGGAATCGTCGATAAATATTTGTTCGTTGAAATGCTTTGAAGTTGGAGTATTTGGTAGAATAACATAGGTGCCGGTACAGTGATTAAATAAGAAAACATCTAATCGTTTTCTGACAAAACAGCTTCGGGAACTGACATGCCAAGTGACGCATATGAAAAATCTATTGAATAAAGTTTCAAGGTTAGGTTTCACTATTTTTTTACTACTCCCTACGCCACTGGCGAAGAAGCATTGGAATCGCGAAAAAAATCGAAAATGAGATATTATGTTTTCTGGATGTTACATGACGAAAAAATGTCTCATCAATTCCCGTCTGTTGGTCTGACCGCTAATCCCAGGCCCGTCTATAACTTGAACAGTAGCGCTTGGACTTTTATGAAATCGTTCCTCAAGGTTACTACTATTTTAAGGGCGAAAAATCATTGTATTTTCTAACTCGGTCCAGTAGCGGCGGAGCTATGGGGAGAAAATGAAGAAAGAAACAAAAAGAGACCGAACTTTTTTAACGTTTTAGAGGATTTCGAGCATTCTCAGAAAAATATGTTCAAATCTGGCAATTATAGGGGGTGGGAAAGAGTACATATGTTTTTTGATGTGTAGTACAATTATACGCTATCAACCCCAGTAATTCTACACACCTAGACTTATTTCATATATCATAATTTTCCCCCCACATTTGTCCTTAAAACTTAGAATGACAGAGAAAGAAGCGTTGTCGATACCGGTCTGGAAGAGTGTCCTGAAATTACTGCCGCCGTACCGCGCGGCTGCGCCTCACGCGTCGTGTAGTCAGATGTGGGAGAGGGGCGGCGTTGCCATATGTACGGTACTACCGGTAGGGCAGGTAGAGAATGCCTTAGGCCTGGACGGGCATGTTTGACTGACTTAATTTCTCTATTATACATATTCGTAACTGACTTTTTTCTCAGAGGATCTAACTTAAGCTGAACATGGTGACTGCGTTTCGTGGGAAGCGCAGAGTCAACGTACTTGACGCCATTCTTTTATATAAGATACTTAAATGCTCTCGGGATGGTTTACAGAATTTTCTATGTATCTATTTCTACTGCCCTGGTATAAGGAGTGAGAAGCATGCATTCAAAGAGATAGACATCTGACGACAACAGCTGGTAAGAGGTGCTTTGTCCTCAGCAATTGTAATAATTAGTAATTATGTAGAGCAAGAGACTTGGTTTTAAAAGAGAGCGTTATTAGAGACAACGCAGCTGTAAAGGTCTTTTATAGTTGCCCCTCGTAAGTTAACATGTATAGTGTAATCAGAGCAGATCAAGCATTCAGCAGGTGAACTCTAAAAAGGATTTATAGGAAATTACTTCATACAGAGCCAGACCTTCATTGTGCTATTGTGGAAGGAGTGTTTCTATCACTTGTTATTCGTTCGTCCAGCCGTGGAAAAATATAAAATCCGCCAAGTCAATAATACAAGCAAGCTGATTCACCATAATGGCTAGAGACTGACTGCATGTATACATATTTCTCAACGCTGCCACATTATACCTAGGCACACATTTGTTTATTTAGGTCAGGAAATCTTGAATCTAGAACAAAACGGCAAAAGCATGCTAATACATTGTCATATCGTTTCAAAATATAGTCATAAGTTTTCCGCAGTAAAGCTTTAAAGCCCATATTGTTTATAGTTGATTAATGCACAAAAGGAGATCACTCTATGCATTACTCGGTATCAACTGTCCATTGTTGAAATAGCTCTACTTATACGGATATACAGCTGGATCGTCAATGTGTGTGCGGTAACATTGTACTTTTAAACCAGCGTACTGTCCGTTCTTTTGCTTTTGAATTTTATCATTTCCTGTGTTTCTTAGTGCGTCCGCGCTATTTCCTGCATTTATGTTGCATCTTTACGAGTGTTCTCACAGGAAATAGGCAAAACATCTGACGCAGAAGTAATCACCTGAACACTGCAGTTTAGATAACGGCAAAACTTCTTGATGGTTATTGGTATCTTACTTATTAACTAATAAGAAGTTTTGCGTAACGCGTGGGAATGTGCTGTGTCACAGCAAATCTAATATTGATGTGCCTTCTAATTCAATTCGACCAACTAGTTCAATAAGTCGCATTTACTAAAACTAACTAGTTCGTGAGGGAACTACATGACGATAGAATGGATGAGTGACCGCATTTTTCCAACATAGTAGCCATGATCCTAACTAGCTCGAATAACGTAGAATACATTTTTGACTGTTGCTGCCACCAGTTCAGAAGATTTTAAATAGTTAAAACAATACAAAGATTTTTCCTGGTTCCTGATTTCTTCAAATTCTTTTGTTAATGCTTGTCTATCAAATTAAAATGATAAAGGGTGTTTCAATAAGGACGCAAAATTTCAAGGTTCTATTAAACTTGGTATGAATACAATCATTATACATTATGACTGCCAAAATGGCGCTAAATTCAAATATTGCGTTCTTATTCATACATCCTTTACATTCCGAGTATAACATGCATCATTCACCGCATGTCTGTGATTAAATAGCTTTATACAATGTGTCTGGCTTTTGCGTGTATATCGAGACTCTTGGAATCTATTCACGTTTACCGATCTCTCAAAGTCCTAGATTCGCCTAAAAGTTGTTTAGATATGGTGCGATATTGCTGGGAGAGGAAGATGGTTCTGCTAGTGTGGTCACTACAGCTTGATGAGCCTCCAAACATCAGCTTGGTGATGACCGTCCAGTTTTGCGAGTTTGCGTGCAAAGGTCGTGATTAAGTAGATACATAGCCCATTTTTAAAGTAAGTGCCGATTGCGCATCGTACCCGCGCATCGTATAACGTGACCTGAGACACTCTTGGCCAGTTTCTGGCTACGTCGCCGTTGAGTTTCACGTCTATGTATATTTGCTTTTTGTGGTTATACTGCTTTGTTTGCCGCCATGTCAATCAGCAAACCCGCCGACCGTGAAGTGCGCTTTGTAATTTGGTTTTTAACCGCAAAAAAGTTCCTGCTGCTGAAATTCAGCAGTAGCATGTTGAATTGAGCGCGCAATTCTGCAATTCAAAAATGTCCGCAGAGCCCACTCTCCAACGTCGTCGTTCTGCTTCACGACAACGCTCGGTCTCACGTTTGCTGCAAGAACACAGATGCAACTGGACAAGTTTCTTACGGAACTACAGACTTTAAACCTTTTTCCAGAACTTAAGTAATTTTTTGGCGGAAAGAGCTTGAAAAATGTTGAAAAAAATAATTACCAACTGGTTAAACGGTCAGGCGTTAGCATTATTTGAAGATGGTATCCAAAGGCTGATGCCTCAGACGTTAAAATGTTTGCGGTGACTATATTTAAAAATAAAAAATGTTCATACTTTAGTTTGTGATACAAATTTACATTCTTGAATAGAGTTTCTCTGACTCCTTTACAAAATGGTAGTTACTGGAAAAATGACCGTGGTACTATCTACACAGTGTTGTCAGTTACACTTCCTATGATACTTGAATTGTACAATATTAATGCTACTATACGGTATAGAGTGCCACTGGTTTATTTACAGTGCAATTACGCATCCAAGCAGAAAATGAGTGGTGGTCGGCTAGTGCATTTTTCTAAAGAAGGCGTCAACATGATTTGTTTTTATGTATGTTATTGTTGAGTGCACGGGACGGACGTGATGTTGCTTCGCCAACGCGAGATGTTAATGCTCTGACTCTAGTACTAATTGCACAAACTATAGAGCAGACCGACTGAAATGGAAATTGTGTACACGTCACATGTTCGAGATACGGGTGACACAGTAACAGACAGTGGTCCATTTATGCGAAAACCTGGCAAGAATTAAAAAACATACAAAACGAACTTACAGAAATAAATGAAATTCACTACATATTTCAAAATTCACACCTTGAATAATAATTTGGATATGGAAGCAAGAATTTGCTTACGCTTCCTGTACAATGGCAGACTATCAAACTTGAAGTTTGTTATAAGCCATTTGATACAACTTTCCACGGAAGACTCCGCGAGTTCCGGTATTAAGGATCAGGCTGCTTGTTGGGAAATTTTCAAAATCCGAAAATGGTTCATAAAAAACAACTATCACTTGATGCAATGGGAATCTGTCACTTTTCAGCTGAAAAAACTTCAAAAGATTGCTAACCGAGTCAGTCACAGAACGGTCTTTTTGCATAGTACGATAAAACACTTCAGAGAACAATGATTTCTAGACGGCATGACAACAGAGTTATGGCAGAAGTGTAATAAATGGCCTTAATTTTGTGGGTGGGAGAAGTTCGCCTGCTCTACTATACCGTCGCAAACAGAGAGCAAGCATTAAATGGCAATTAGCAACTAAAAACGTAAGTTATTTTCATTTTGCTCAGATATTTGATAACAGTATAAATTATCTCGTTATGCGTAACTCGCACGCTACCTCGGCTTGCACATTGACAGTTTTATGTAATACATTTATATCTGGCTTACAACAAGCTCTAAAGTTACCATTAATGGCGCAAATGATAAATTTAAATGATATAATGGAAGTAGATTCGTACCGCCGCCGTTTTAATTTAATTGGCTTTATTTCCTGCATTAAATATCTATACTGAGCACACATCTTGTGGGAATCAGCAACTTTAGAGATGCCAGTAGGCATCCAGTAATTGATATCGATATGTGGCTAAGCGACTTAGCGCAACTACTAGTCGCAACGATTAGTTGCTAGTCATATCGAGGAGTAATAGACTGACTTTGCTCGTATCTTTGCACATCATGGCGCAGTTCAGCCTTGGGGCAAATCTTCCATGTTAACAAAAATTGTCACATGTTACGTAGAATAATTGTAGGGCGCATACATACTTGTATATAACATGTGCTATCTAAAAGCATGATAAATCAAAGAAAAATACTGAAAATGGCAACATTAGATACAAAAATAAATGGACAAAAAGTAATTGAACAGGCATTGAGAGATGATTGCATATTC